AGACACAGAGACACACACACACACCCACCTGCGCGCACACGCTCTCTGAGGTGTCTGCGACGAGCTGCTGGGCTCTGAGGGTGCGTCATCCACCTGCCCAAAAGGACGTGTTAGGACGCACATGTATGCATCCAAGAGGCTGCATCCAATTATACACACAGACAGGCAGAACTATGTAGAATTAGATGGTTAGGCAGGTAGCTAGCTGGCTGGATGGAATGATAGATAGAGAGACACAGCTTGCTTGACCGAACATGCTTACAGGCATGCAACTCCTGTAAGCAAACCTGAGAACGGGCAGATGCCCTCGGTCCTCTCTAACGAATTAGGCGGTCTGCGCTTTTTGCTGACTTCTCGGGCATCCCGTGCAAATGCCGCTGGAAAGTTGCATACCTGAGTTGAACCGCCGTATACACAGTAGGTCTCTGATCGCATGACCAGTGAGAAGAGTCACGCAGAATTCCGGGTTCACTCCGGCGGGAGTGCAACTCTCGTGTGCCTGGTCCAAGTTACACAATGCCTCGATTCCAGCGACTTGGCGCAAAGTCTCCGCTCCTGGTAGGTTGTCGCCTGCCGAACTTCGGCCCGTCCGGAGAAAGTAGGTAGCCAAGGCTCCCCCTCTGCCTGCACCAGGCTATGGGCATAGCATCTCTTCGTGACGCAGAAACCCAGCCGCCAAGCCTGCTCCGTGAACCATCGGACATCGAAAACAACCTTGTTTGGCCAGATGTAGGCACTGTCAAGCAGGACGACTGGCTTCTCGCAATGAAAATTACGGCTGACCTGCCACATCCTGTAACCCAGGCACCACATCGGTGAGGATTCCGGCCAGGGTGGGCCTGATTGCGATTCCTGAGACATAAAGACTATCTTTCCGAACATGCGGCCAGGCTCTCATCAGTGCTGCATGAAGGTTGGCCGAAACCTGTCCAGGAGTGCAGTCGAAGCAGCTGAGATCGGTGTGGAAAGTTGGGTTGAAGCCAAAGGATGCAATCTCCACCACGGCCTCCACAGATCAAGCTTCACTTTAAGGCCCCTTTTTGCATCTGGTCTCCATGGATGGCAGCCAGAACACATGCAACAGCTCACACACGTGAGCAAATTAGATTAATTAGTGGCTACCGTAGCCTTCACGCTAATTGCGGCCACCACGGCCGAGATCCGGGATGCTGACTAAGCTCGAACCGGGTTTGCACTTCTCCTGCGCAGCTGCAAAGCGAGCACAGCGCGCACCAGCGGGCTCCAGAGCCTGCAGTCCAGGATCTTCGGTTCTGTGTTCGACCATCTTTCCAGAACTTGCTGCACCAAGCATGCCGCAAACTGTACAGGAAGCAAGAACAACCTTGGCCTCGTTAAGAACCTGGAGGGTCGCTATGATCGCTTTCTGGGCAAAGTCACGGCATTGCTCCTTGAAGCGCTCCTGATTGCAGTGCTGCAAGTCATGGCCAAGAGCCAACCATGGCGCTTTGCTTGCTTTGCTTTGCAGCTCGGGGCCAGGCTTGCTCATCCAGCCCATGACGCAGCCAACGATCGGCCTCGGGGAAGATCGATATATATATATATACATATATATATATACATATACATATATATATATATATATACATATATATATACATATATATATATATGGATATCGGCCTCTGACTTTTGTCACATTTGACACTTCCTAAAATCTATTACGTGTTCTACCATAGATAAAGCAAGGCTCACCGTTACAAGACGTGGGTCGGCACGGCAGAGACTCAGCCGGCAGCAGCAGAGCGGTTCGGCGCAAAAGCAAGAACCGGGTACCGCGAGCGTGTAAAGTCAGACCTCAGGGGGTCCCCACGCGCATGGACCGCGCCGTCGCCCGAGTAGCTCAGGCCGCAGCAGCTCGGAGGGCGCAACGCAAAGATGAACCGACCGGGTGTCCTTCACTGCGGCGGTGCCGCTCGCTTCAAGGCCAGACGAGAATGGATCCAGCATAGACGAAAAGGCCCGATTGACTGACAGCGCACATGCGCGCTCTGCTCTTTAAAGCTAGAATTCCGTCGCAAAAAAACATCCTCAATCTAAGTCCTGCCAGGGACAGTTGTCCAACGAGATGCCCGCCTCAATGACGAACGAGCTGATATGAACTGCACTTCAGAAACGTCTTGGAATGGTACCAACATCTGTTGCAACTTTCTTCCACGAGTTACCACTGCCACATTGCCTGGAAGAAAGCATGATGATGCTCTCTGCACTAGCTGGTACCTTCTCTGCTGCAGCCAACCACGCAAGAATCATCTAATGTGCTAAGGAACTTATCGAGCGGAAATGTGCGAGCTGACGTGGCCAACGGAAGCCCCCTGCCTCGGCACAGTTTCGCACCCCAGGCCGAGGGAACCTCAGGCACTGCGATCAAAGACTGCATGGGGTGTGCGCACTTCCGGCACTTCAGATTTGGGACGGTTTGACTTCTCGTGGCCAGTTTAATATGCCCACCGATTCTTGTAAGTCACATCTCACGAGCGATTCAACACTAAGCTAAGCTGCAGCAGAAAATCAATCCAACATGGCTTGTCATTAGAGTTCCAGCTGTGGCAACTTGGAACACCAATGGTCTTCTTGCCGGATGATAAGAAAGTTTCCGCTTTCGGACTGGTTGTCGGGCCGGGCGCTCCGCTTCAGGATGTGGAGCTTTACTTTGCGGACTTCTACAACTCAGAAGAAGAGCTTTCCACCTGCCTAACAGTGTTACATGCGAGAGAACCAACTCAAATGATACACAATCCAGTGCTGATCGAAGGCTACGGCTACTGCCTCCAGCCAGGGCACAAGAAGAAGCTCTCCGGTGTGAAGACGTCGGTTAGCCGGCTGGGAAGCTGCACCCTGTGCCGATGCGCACAGCAGAGTCAAGCAGCCGAGGCAAAGCAATTTTTAAATTGTCCTTCATGTGTTCTGGGTGATATCCCCCTACAGCCCTAACGACCTGCGTCGCTGCAGCACAATTTAGCCGAGCACAGATGAGATTTACAGGAGTCTGTCAGAACAAAGAGCATGGTTGCGCAGACCATCTCGACCACGGCAGCCATCGTCGGTCCATGCAAAGTCTGCCAATTCCCACTGCTTCGCGGACCTGTCATGTGCAGAGAAACGAGCCTGGCCCAAAGCAATGCGGATGTCAGGTGGCCACTGATAGGAATCCCAGTCCGTGGCCGAATGGCCCTGCAACCATTCGCCCCAATGGGGAAGAACGGCATGCTGCAACGCAACTCGTTCGGCATGGCGTTCGTCCGAAGGGATTCGCAGGACAGGGTGCAAGAAGTCGGGCGATGGCAGAGTCGTCCAATTCCTGAGGAAACTTCGTCCCCAGTCATTTGTCTGCAGGAGGAGAACCTCTGGACCTACACCGAGGCTACTGGATGACACCAGCATCGATGCAGCGGATGCAGTGGTGACTCCATGCTTGGCCAAAAGCTTTGTTACAGGCATGTCGAGGTCTGTGAGGAACACTTCGCAGTCCACCCACAGCAACCAGGAATTAGGGCTCGAGGAACCTATGACAGACAGCAGTGCGTATGCCCGCCAGTACGCGGGAGCATTTGTGCGCGTGAGGTTTGTTCCAGCCGGAAACGCTGCTACAATCTCATGGGCATCGTTGAAAAAATGGAGGTCATATCCGTGCTTGGCAGCATAACGCTGACGATTTGCCTTGCTCCTGGCACGTGCGCCGGAGGCGTGAATACCTGCGCAAGCTGTGACCACGGCAACAGCGGGTTCCTGGCTGGCAGGAAGTTGTGGTGGCTGTGATGGATGGGTCGGGAAGAGGACCTCACCCAGTTGTTGAAACGCTGCTGCAAGGTCGCGGCCTCGCAGAGGCCACTGTGTGCATTCCCGATGGGCTCTGGTCGGCAGCATGGCCAAAGCAAACTGAATCAGACTCAGTTGTTTCAGTTGCCGTGACTTGTCATTGTTTGCAGAGCTCTTTGCCGTAGAGGCTATGACTTCTGCAAGGCTGTAGCTGGCAGTTGCCACAGCTGATGGGCACTGGCTGGCAAGTTCGAAGCTCTGGGCCACCAGCGCCAGCAAGCTAATCAGCTGCTCTCGAGCTGCAGTCGGCCCCTCCCAGAAAACTGCATTCCGAGCCTCGAAGATTTCCCCGATCACCGCCGTCCAGTCGAGTGTTGGAGTTAAGCGGCTCGACGGTCCACATTCATCGGCCACCGACCGCGCGAAGATCTTCTCGGATGAACAGGGCTGTGCCGCCACAAGGTCAGACACTCCTCTCGCGAGTCTGCTGAGAATAATGGCCCAGAGCAGCAGCGATCTCAGAGTCCGCGTGAAGTCCATCCGACTCGAGCAACTATATGGGACAAAGCCGACCCAGCGAGCGCAGAGCTGTTCGCCATGGGCACATCGCAGCGTGGTTGACTCATGTAAGCATTGTTTGCCATACAAGCGAAGAAAACTGGCAGTGGAGCAGCCTAAGTTTGACGACTGATCCGTCTTCAAGCTAGCCTGCAGCAGGGATACTACTGTTACTGTTTCGGTTGCTAACTCAAGCAAAGTCCCGAGGTACAAGTTATGAAAGGTCATTCACCCAAGAGTCATGCAAAGCTGAATTGTGCTAATTATTCGAGCACGTCGCCCCCTCAAGTTCTCACAATGCTGGCTAACAAACACAGACGCCTGCTTCATCGACATATGCACAAGCCACATCATACGCCCGCTGATACTTGAACATGACGTTGAATCACGGTGCACAAGTCATCCCATGCCGCCTGCTCACAGGAGAAGCTACAAGCACCTCGCGAGGCTGTACGCCCACGACCATCACACAATGCCCTCTGAAGCTTGCACATGCCCAATTAGAGCCAGGAGCTGCTGCATGTTTCTGCAATAGCCTTGGCCCTCTATCATGTTTACCTGATTTATCCTGGACCCTACCTACCTACCTGCCTACCTACCTACGTACCTACCTACCTACCTATCTACCTACCTACGTATCTACCTGCCTGCACTTGCCTACATCTCCACCTGACTATCCGCTCTGTAAATAGATGAGGAGGATGACACAAGTCATCCACATGCAAAGCAATGTACCGCAAGATGTGTTGTGCGGGTGCAGGGGTGGATTTGTTGCTTTTTTTTTGGTGTGTGTGTGTGTGTGTATGTATGTGTGTGCGTGTGTGTGTCGTCTGCCTGCCTCCCTGGCTGGCTGGCTGGCTGGCTGGCTGGCTGGCTGGCTGGCTGGCTGGCTGGCTGGCTGTCTGTCTGTCTGTCTGTCTGTCTGTCTGTGTCTGTGTGTCTGTGTGTGTGTGTGCGTGTCTCTGTGTGTGTGTGTGTGCGTGTCTGTGTGTCTCTGTGTGTGTGTGTGTGTCTGTGTGTCTGTGTGTGTCTGTGTCTGTGTGTGTCT